CTAAAATGTAGGAGTTGGATCCATTAGGTTCTTCGATTTATTCAGAAAAGAAACGAGAGACAAGAAAACATCTTTGATTACGATTAAAAGGAACAATCTCAAATAAACCAAGATCAAATTTCGGGTCATTTCTTGGTGAACATGATCTGCCATAATCTCTTCGATCCCTTCATTTATGTGCCAGAATAGAGAGAGAATTGGTAGGAAAGTGGAAGATAGTTTGACTTTTATGTATATGATAATCAAAGGGAGTGGGAAAGCTGCAGTAATTCTTTGGAAAAGCCCGGTTCTCCTTGTCTTCGAGCTTTCATTCCTCAATCCACTGATTCGTTCCTTCATATACCTCCCCACCAATAGATAGAGACAAATGGGAATAACCGAACCACGTCTACAAAATGCCAGTACCATGCAGCTGCTTCAAAGCCAACGTGATGCTCCTTGGTCAGATGACCAAGATATTGGCGAATACCACATATGATCGAGAAAAGAGTACCTATAATCACATGAAAACCATGAAAGCCAGTTGCTAAGAAAAAGGTAGAACCATAAATACTATCCGAAATAGTGAAGGGTGCTTGATAATATTCCATTCCTTGAAAGCCGGTGAATACTAGAGCCAGTGAAACGGTAGCTACTAAAGCGTAAACTGCTCGTTTTTCCTTCCCCGCGAGTATAGCATGATGAGCCCAAGTTACGGCAGCTCCGGATGAAGGGGGAATAAGGGTATTAAGAAAAGGGATCTCCCAGGGGTCTAAAACCGCAATCCCCTTTGGTGGCCAAATACCTCCGATCTCTACCGTAGGTGCCAAAGAAGAATGAGAAGAAGCCCGAAAAAGAGCAAAAAAGAACATAACCTCCGATACGATAAACAGAATAAAACCATATCGAGGTCCTAATTGTACGACTTTGGTATGATGTCCTTCGAACGTGGATTCGCGTAGAACATCGCGCCACCATACGAACATGGTATATAGGATAAATATGAGGCCCAAACTGAGAAGTGTTGCACCCCCTTGAAATGAGTGCATGTACATCACACCTCCTACGGTTGTTGCCAAAGCTCCGAGTGAACCCGAAATAGGCCATGGACTTGGATCTACCAAATGATAAGAATGCCTCTGAGATTCAATCATAAACCACTTTGCCTCGGTTGTATGTAAACCACCCCTTCACCCCCACCCCCTAAAGTAGTAAAGAAGGGCTCTTTGGGGTCTAATTTTCTTTCTATCTGACAGGACAAACAAACAGGAAGGGGTGGTTCTTTCATTGCATTGATAGAAGTCTAACTAGAAAAAGATCTGTCTATTACTTTGAGAAGAGAATCGTTGGTTTTACCGACGAACTACGTGGGAAAATGGACCTTCTTTCTTTGATTTTCAGCAAGATTTTTGGAAAGTAAAAATGAAGTATGAAGTGGCAACGCTTTATAGTAGAGGCCACCCTACCGCGAAAGAACAAGCAACGGCTTCTAGTTTAGACTAGCGCTACAACGCTATTCATATAGTTCTTGTTGAAGCCGTTGTGCGTGAGTAAAGTGACGCTACGCGTCTTCCTTGGTGAAATAAATAGAAGCCGTTGCGCTAACGCGCATCCGTTTTCTTGCTCAAACAAGCAGGAGTTTTCCTGCTCTTTCGGAAAACTTTATGGTAGTTCGTTCTGCGCCGCCAGCGGCCTCAACTCAAAGGCGCAGGTTGCTCTCTCTGGTTGAGGCTGCATTCATTTATTCATATTCAACTTGACACGTGGAAAAGGCTTACTCTCCTAGTGGCTCGGCTTGGTCTCGCTCCCTTCCCGCACTATTACTCCCCACTCAAAAGAGCGATTGAGAATCTCGAGAACCTTTATGAACGTCTGTCTTCGCGGGGCGATTGGAAAAGGAGTCTTTTTTTCTTTTACTGCCTTCCATTCCACTATTCTGATCGAAAAAAATGCTCTTCCGAGCGACCAAGTCATAATGAGATTAAAAACCGATTCTTCCTTGGCCGTGTGGAACATGGATTAGCATTATGTAATTCCTACAAGTGATCTCCCACCCAGGATGATTGGTGCTCTCTGAGGTCTTTTTTATCATATATAATATGTTTCTTTCCATTCCTCGTGAGCCACTTATTTCTCCGAAACAAGAGATTAAAGTGATTTTCCTTCTTTTTCCCAATAAGTCGACGGCCTTACACCATTGGGATACTTCGAATAAACTGGAGTACATATAGGATACACCGGTGCTAAAACCCTTTCTCAAGATATCTTCCAAGCTGTTGGGGTCGTTGCTCTGGATCTTGTTCTCCCGGTGTGAAACCAGTTGGTTCCGTAGTTTTAAAATTCTGCTGATCCCAAGTACTCCATCTCCATCATTGCATATGGGAATATAGAAAGTAAAGAGGAAAAGGCATGACCAGAAGAATTGTGTAAAATAAGTGAATTTATCCAGTTGAGGCATGATATGCTTGACAACAAATGATTCCCTCCAGACAGAAAGAGAGTCCTTACTGTACGAGTAGTTCAGAATTCTAGTGAGTTTTTGTTGGTTGTTGACCAACGGAAATCATGGGAGAAAGAAGACTAGATCCGGGGGTCATTCACCACCCCAAAACCCCATTAGTTGATTGGACAACAGGGCTAGCGCCTCTCTCTGCCTTCGAACCCTTGTCTTTGCTTCTCCCCCTGTAGTCGTAATATTCGGCTTGTCGCTACTTTGATTCAAAAGGTAACCGACGGTTCCCGACTTTCTCCGCTTTCCGCAACCGTAACCACTTGTAATTCCGATTACTTCATCCATAAACCAGCTTATTCACCTTATTTCAAAATAGCGATACGCTCTAAAAAAGTCAAGGAGAAGCTTCCATTCTAGAAGCGGTAGCTTCCCGCCTCCTTCGGGGTGAGAAGTTTCCTTCCCTTTTCTAAAATGCCTGAGTGGTCTGCTCAGCAAACGTACAAAGTGGACCGCAGTTTGGCTGACCCTATTCTTCCCATTCGGGTTGGGTTTACCCAGAAGTACAGTAAGAGGGAATGGAACCACTGGAGAGTCGTCTGCAGTTCACACCTGGGCAAAGACGACTGACTTTGGAAGCGTTCACCGGTAACAAAATCCCGATTTCCGCTATTCCGGGTTCTTATTGAGCGTAGCGAAATCAAGGTTTATGAGAAAGTAAGCGAAGTTTCTATGGTGTTCTACCTTTGCGTAGTCTCGGTCCACAGTGGAAGGCTCCGCACCTGAGCCTCGTTAGACTCAGCTGAAGTGTAAGGTGTAAGTGAAGAGAATAGAAGAGATGAAGTCCGTCCCTTAGCCTAGTCTATATCCACAGCTGACGCAACTCCGTACCGACGCCTTACTACTACTAAATTTTTAACCATTTTTCTTTATTTTTTTTTAATATTTAATAAATTAATTAATTAACGGCTAAGCGATTTCATAACCTGAGCTTTCCTTAACCTGCTGACCTTACTTCGTAACCTTAGCCTCCCTTTCTTTATAGTTCGACTAAGTGACTTCGTAACCTCAACGTACTTTTTTTCTTACTGTAGCAGCAAGAAAACTCCTGCGCGAACAAGCTTAGGAAAGAATAGATTGAAGAGTCTCAATTAGCTGTTGCTTGTTGGAGCAAGGAAGACGCTTGAGTCTTTAGACTTAGACTCACGCACAACGGCTTCAACAAGAACTATATGAATAGCGTTGTAGCGCTAGTCTAAACTAGAAGCCGTTGCTTGTTCTTTCGCGTCAGCCCTTGCTTGTTTTGTTGTTGTGAAGTGAAAATGTCTAGGGAGCATACTTGACAGGAGATAGACACAGGCGGTAGAGAGGTCCCCCACTTCGATTTCCGCCCCGTTAGCATCTACGATCCGAGATAAGGGATTACTCCGTTAGGTCTTTTCGGTCCGGAGCCGGCCGGTAATGGACCTACTTACCTTGCTTGTAGACCTGCTGCGGAGCTAACCCTTGTTCTATTGGTTTGGTGGTGCTACCAAGACGATTTCTTTATGCCCATCAAAGGACCTCGAGATGCTAATCCACGAAAAACGATACGATAAATTAGAAAGAACTCATATACGGAACGAGGGCGACCCGTGAAAATACATCGGTTTCTTACTCGTGCAAAGGAACTCTTTCTTGGCAACTTGGACAACTTATAACGATGTTTGTCCCGCATATCACTAGGAAGATAGGGATCTTTACAAAAGGCTTTATAAAGCTTTCGTCTCAATTCATATTGAGCCGCGAGCAATCTACGTTTGTGATCTCGTATATTTTGCTTCTCCGACATCTTACTGAGTTTCCCCCTCATCTTTTTGCAAAAAGCCGCTCCACGGTGGTAAAGTCTCATCTTGTGTGTTGGCCGAAGTGACAATAGTCACATTGAACCCTCGAATATGTTCGAAGATCTCGAAATGATCTTCCAGTTCCGGGGAGAATTCGCAAAACTCCGTTTCCATCGAGAATTGAATGGAGTTTTCCCGTATTTCGACCGGAGAATCTAACAGAGACATTACTGTGGAGATTCTGACCAAAAAAGAATACATTCCATGCCCTCGGAGAGTGCTTTGTCGTGCTAGGTCACTGACATATCCTTTTTTTTCTTTATTTGACCTAAAGAATGGATTGGATCGAAACGACTTTCCTGTCGAAGCCCTTTGTGTCTGTATGAATTTCTGACCGCACGGAATCTCCATAGCCAATTTTCCATTTTTGATAGAAGGTGCTGCCTTTGGTACTACTCTTATTTTACACGATCCAGGAACTTCCATAACGTTGGCGTGATTCGGTTTGAGCAACGGATCCTGACGTGATACATCTTCGTAATGAAAATAGAGTGGAAACATGAGTTTGCTTTTCCAGTATCTATAGAAGAAGCACTGTGAACTATCTGCTTCAAAAAGATAGTTGGTTGAATGAAACTTCTTCGATCAGAATACGAATGAGATCAAAAAGGCCATCGCAAACAAGGCAATAGCTTCGGTTAGAGCAAAGCCGCATAACCAAATGATTGTTTAGATGGATTTCGCGCCACGGAATGAATCAAAGAAATGAAGACGTTTCCAATACCGACAGAGACTACCCTCATGATTACCAAAGGTTATTTAATAGGTTCATGATAGTCTGATAGGTTTCACTGTGTACATCACGGAGAATAAGATCTTCGAGCATATTGTATATTTTCATGAGATCGATAGGTTCCAAATTACATGGATCTACCACTTTAGTAGAGATAACTTTTTCGACTAAGTCTGGATATGAAAGATTATCGGGCAGACCAAGGTTATGTCTATCTCGAATCTCTTTTACGCTCTTTTCGAGCGCACTATTCAAGAGGTCTTTTGACGATTCAAAATAAGGATTCTTCCGCATTGATGGAGAACAATTGGCCTGGTCTAGTTCTAGTTCATACTCCCCCTGCGCTATTTCACAGAAGGATTTCAGAGTCTTGAGTAGAATTTTGTTTTTTTCCATTTTTATATTATAGTCATGTTGTGCTCCGCTCCCCCCAAACAAAAAGAGAGACTTATTCTTGCTTTCCCAATGAAGGAAGACGGAAATTGCCGGTTGGCTTAGTCCAACCAAAAAAGATATGGGACTTTTGGGACATTGTTTGAGATAAGTCAAGCTTGGACCGACTTAAGTCAAGACTGGCTATCTCTCTCTTTATATACGCAAAAAAAGGCGAAGAGTGACTACTGATTTCTTCTCGTAGTTCCTCTCTTGTTAGTGTAGTGATACGGATACTCCTCTATGCGAATGTTCTGGCTTTCAAAAGACGAGTAAGAGGCGACCGATCTGTCTATTCTTATTCTACCGGTAAGTGAGATAAGAAGTCTTTCTCGGAATATCCCTTACGCAATAGCAGGGAGGGCTTTGAACGAAATCGAATAGTACTTACACTTGACTTGTGACTTTCCTTCAAGCAGGAATAGGAATGAATCCATAAGCTGCTATCGAACCGTCTCTTGCGAGAAGAAGGGTCTTAAAGAGGGTGGAAAAAGGGCTTGTGCAACCAAGAAAACGAATGCGCGGGAACAAGCTTAGGCGAAGGGAATGCCACTCGATAGGAATCAGAGCAGCTGTCTAATATGTGACTCAGAGACGCGACTCTCCTTTGACGGCCGTTTGAAGACCAACCAGCACAAGAATTGAGTTCTAACGGAAGCGTGAAGACTTGACCAACGAGGTGCAGGATCGATAAGCAGCTCCACCAATTCGCAATTGAACTGAAACTTAGAGAATTGACATCGGAGAACAGGCCAATGGCCCAAAACAAACGAGAAGAAAAGATAGGGGGTGGGGTCTCCCCGGCTCCTCTCTATTAGCGAGAGAAAGAAAAACTCTGACTGGGAGTGATCCCTTCTATATTGATGAAAGAGTCGGGATCAACGTCTTTATGGTTAGTTATCTCTTGAGAATCAACTAAGAAAACAAATGTCCTTCCGGGAAAACGAGCGCGACGGCACTCCATTTCAAAGGTGAGAAGCGAAAGGGGTAAGCCCGGACACAGACCGTATAGGGTATTCTACTCAAGGAGTGAAAGCCACTCGACTGTAAGGAGAGGAGCGAAAAGCCACTGGATCGAAAGGAGAAGGAGGCGCCAACAATCGAAAACCGGGGTAGGGGGCAACATCGATTCCTTATTTCCTTTCTCAGTATGTGCGCGATCAAAGCCCTTTGGCAAAGAAAGACTAAGCATAAACGGCATTAGGTTCGGAGCGCAAAGAAGCTCAACCATAGGAAGAAGGGATAAGAGCGGTTAACGCCGATTGACCGAAAGTTGCAGGCGCGGGGACACTCATTAGATTAGTTATGCCATTCTCTATAACAACAGAAACAAAAGAGTGACGAGCTATACTATAAAGGAAAGAGCTATTGACCCGAGCTCCACTCCGGGAGAAAGCCCTAAATGCGACAGACACTCCCAGCACCTATTAGTCTTAATGATAGGTTTAGTATTCTTATTATATCTTCCCATAACCTAGCCCATTTCAATATAAAGGTCTCATTCAATGCAATTTATAAGCTTTTAGGGAATGCCATTAAGCAAGACTTTTCGCGCTAGGGTAAAGCGCTCTTGATGGACAGAGGTAAAAATCGCTCTTTATGTAAATTTCTCTGTAGTAAAGGAAGTTCCAGGCAGGCACATACGCAAAGGAGATTCAATGAAAGGCTAGGGTTTGAGTACTCTATAGGAGCTCCTCCTGAAAAAGATTGGCTTTTCCAAAAAATTACATCGTTAAAATTTCATTAATTTATGATGTGATGCCCTTGAAAGCTTCAATTGGTCTTTTCGAGACCTTCCTCTTAGGAGAGAAGAAAGACAAGAAAGAGGAGACTCTTTCAACAAGGCTACGAGTTCTGGCATACTTTACTTTAGATTGGATGTCCTACTTCTATTTCATCTTTCACCGAACCCTACTTCACTCAATCAATATCCTAAGCTGAATCCTACCTCTAAACCACCAACAGCGGGAGAGCCGACATGAAATGATAGATGTGCAGCGCATTCTGTAAGGCTAACAACG